TTTTTTTTTTTTTTTGCGAGACAGAGTCTTACTCTGTTGCTTGGGCTAGAGAGCCATGGCGTCAGCCTAGCTCACAGCAACCTCAAACTCCTGGGCTAAAGCGATCCTCCCACCTCGGACTCCCAGAGTACTAGGATTACAGGCATGAACCATCACACCCGACCTCAAAATTCAGTTTTTAAGAGCAGTATTAGAATGAATAGGCTGGAACCACATCAAGAGAGATGTGGGTGAGACATCTAAACTCTATGGAGGAGTAAAGCACTGGAATGATTTCTCAGGAGAGCGGGTAGAGGAGCCCAACATGTAATTTGCAGACGGGGACGAACAAGGTCCCTGTTGTGGCAAAAGTTTTTAGAAAGGTTTAGGGTTGAGTTAAGGTATCGTGTCTCTGTCCCCTAAGTGTGTCCCTGTCACACACTTGTTTTGACATGGGGATATTGACAAACATCACATACCCGTGGATTGTCTTCAGATGACTCTGTTAATGGGATAAATGACTGGACTTTGCATTGATTTCATTTACCTACAGTGGTGATTTCCCTGAGTGTCAGAGAGAAACATAAGTCACGCACCGCGTAGCCTCGTTTCGATTAATGACGGACCGCATATATGATGGTGGTCCCATAAGATTATAATACTATACTTTTGCTGTACCTTTCCTATGTTTAGATATATTTAGATACACAAATACTTACCATTGTGTTACACTTGCCAGTAGTAATGAGTACAGTAACATGCTGTACAGGTCTGTAGCCTGGGAGCAATGGGCTATACTCTAAAGCCGAGGTGTATGGTAGGCTACACCATCTGTTTGTCTAAGTACACTCTACGATGTGTGGACAACGATGAAATCACCTAATGATGAATTTCTCAGAATGTATCCCGTTGTTAAGCAACAAATGACTATATTCATTTACTAGGTCGATACCAGTTCTGGCCCTGTGCCCACTGGAGGGGAGACGGATACAAGTATGTGTTAATCGTATTGCTAATTCTCAAGGTGCTGAGAGTGTAGACTAGTTGGAAAAAAGTTAACTATACAAAGCAAATCCATTTTAATTCTTAACATAATTGACCTCTCAACAGCGTTTGACCTGGTTGCCTTAATTCCCACCTTGAAACACTCTTAAGTTCTTGGTTGACTTGTGTCCCCACTCTCCTGGCCCTCCTACTCCTCTGCCTTGGCCTTCTCAGCCCCTTTGCCTATTCTTTCTCCTCTGGACACGTGTACATATTGGAGTACATATTGGTCCCGTATGTATTCCTCTCCCTAGGTGATTCCGTTCATCCCCATGGCCTTGCACACTGTACATACCTCCAGCTCAGACTCTCTTCTGAGACCAGCTTCTTTGACACTCGGCTGCCTACTGTCTCATGGCCATGAACTTAGCACCTTGGAAATTGAGCTCACCTTCCTCCCCAAACTTGCTTGTGGTACTACCTTACTAATGGCACTACCATCTACTGCCTTGCTTGGGCCAGGGATTCTTGGTGCTCCCTTCCCCCTCAGCCGATCCTTCCTTAGGTCCTGTTGATTTGACCAACATAAGTCTCAAACATGACTATTTCTCACCTCTGCTGCTGCTCTACCCCTAGCCAAGCATACGCTACTGCAGTAGCCTCCTTACTGATCTCCCTATTTCTACTCTTCTCCTTTTTAATCCTTATCTGCATAGCTGAATTCCTTCAAAGACTTCCTATGGCCTTAGAATAAAACCCAAGCCCTTCACCTGGCTTCTGGCTATCTCTGTAGCGCCAGCTTCTACGGCCCTCTGCCTTCCTCAGTTCTGGCTCCATTGGCCTTTTTTTGGTTCTTTAAATACACAGAGCTTTTTCCGACCTTTGGCCTTCGCATGTGTGATTCCTCTGCTGCACTGGCTTTTCCTTCCACTCTTTTCCTTCTTAATTTCTGCTTTTCCTGCCGGCCTCTGCTTAGGTGTCATTTTCCCAGAGAGACTTTCCAGAACCTTTTCCTGTTCTTTTCCTTCCATCACCCCTACAGTTGGTGATTTACATTTACCTGCGTGCTTGTTTAGTGTGCCTCTTCCTCAATAGACTGTAAACTTAAGGTCTGTTATGCTACCATATACCTGGGGCCTAGCAAAGTATATGGTTCATAGAGGGTACTTAAACAAGATTGGATGAATCAGTCAATGAAGGTAGATGATAGTTATTAGTGGAGTCGAGGTCAGAGGGGTGCATGCTGATGATTATTAGTGGAGTCAAGGTCAGAGGGGAAGATAACATTGGGTGCTGGAGTAGGTGGGGGCTCCTGTGAGGGGTGGGGGCTGGGCTCTAAAGAGTGAGCAGGATTTTGCTGGGAGTTGTGGAAGAGGGCAGAAGGAGACGTCTTTCTCCTCTGCATATTAGAAGGTGAAATATAGTTGAAAGATGCTGCCCCTTAGCCCATAAGTAGCCAGAGAAACTCATGCCTTGCCTATTTCAGGACTTTAGGCTTTTGGAGAAGAAGGCAAGTTTCTACTCGTGTTTTCCTCCCACCCCCCGACCTTATACTATCAGTAGTTTCCACCCCTCACCCTCTAGCGTGCATGCTCACATACACAAACACTACACACACAGCCTCAAGGAGAGCCACCAACCTGACCTGGCCAGTAACTGTGGGTGTGTTTGAAGTAGATGCGGAGAGATGGTGCCAAGAGAAGCAGCCTCCTCTGGGCACATTCAGAAATTAAGAGTGAGGGGAAGAGGGGTGGAGGGGTGGAGGGGGAGGGAGAGGCCTGGGGTAGCCTCTGGACAGAAGTCAGCTGCTTTCTGCTCTCTGAGGTCTCCATTGGTTCAGCCTGTTGGCCTTGCCAGAACCTTCCCTCTCCTAGCCTCAGTTTTCCTGGCTGAGATGAGGGAAGCACTGCCCCTGAGTCTCCCCTCCAGGAGGTTCAGGGTTGGGTCACTCTGGATGAGAACATTTGCTGGCCATCTCCCCCCATGCGTGAGCCCTTGGCATAGTCGGGGGGGGGTGCTCTTTTTAGGAGGCGGGGCAGGAGGAACTGGGCCCCTTGGACAGAGCAGGAATCTGGGTGGAAATACTCTCAGGCAGTAGCGAGGCTCATCTGAGCTAACTGTGGCTTCCATTGGGGATGCTCTTCCTTTCTGCCCCGACCGCACAAGGAGCTCGAGCTACCTCTAACCAGCTGCTTCATCTCATCAGGAGCGTCGCTTGATTTTCTCTGAGACAAGCCCACCTGTCCAGCAAAATAGAGTCCCTCAGGGTGACGGTTGATTTCCTGAGGGTGCCTCTTGGCCTGAAGAAGCCGGCGCTGAAGGAGGTGGCTGTGGGGCCCCCCAAGAGGCCCCAGCCTGCGGCCCTGGAGCGCTACAAGGCGCGGCGTTCAGACGCCATGGACACCGAGTCCCAGTACTCGGGCTATTCCTACAAGTCGGGCCACTCCCGCAGCTCCCGCAAACACAGGTGGGCGTGAGTGTGGGAATGACAGCGGTGGTGGAGGGAGGGTTGGGGGCAGTGGAGAAGTGGGCACGTGCAGCAGTGGGGCGTGGGGGGGTGGGTATGGCCTCTGAGAAGACCCTGGTCCTTCCCTTGACTTTGCGTCTGTTCCTCTGGCTTCCTGCTGCAGGGACCGCCGGGACCGACACCGCTCTAAGAGCCGAGATGGGAGCCGTGGGGACAAGTCGGTGACAATCCAGGCTCCAGGGGAGCCCCTGCTGGACAATGAGTCCACGCGGGGGGACGAGCGGGTGAGCATGGGAGGATGGGGTGGCCCAGACCAGGCATTTTCAGAATGTTCCTTGGAGGAGCTGGAGGCTCAGAGAGGGAAAGGGCCTGGAAACCTGGTCTCTTCATGAAGAGGCCAGATCAGGGAGGGTATCTTGTGGTATCCTTCCCTCAGCTTAGTGTCCCAAGATAGGACCTTGTTTTAGTTGAATTCAGGGGATTTCTGTAGAGACCCCTTTGGAAGCAGCAGCCTCTTCCTTCCTTATCTCCAGAGAGGTGGGGGTTACCTGGGTATGTAGTGGGAATTGTCCAGCTCCTCTGGGGCGGATCCCAGCCAGTCAGGCTGGTCAGGAGTCTGGAGTAGGAGGGGAGGGGGGTGGTGGGTGGGGCCTGCCGGGGTGTGTGTTGGGGGCGGGGGTGTGGACAAGTCTTGAGTTTTCCTTGAGCCTTAAGATGTGGACACTCCTGTGCCCTCTGGTGGCAGCCTGTAGACTAGCATCACCTCGGTCTAGGAACAGAGGTGTGGGAAGAGAGGAAGGGGGACCCAGAAGTGAGGCTGAGAGTTGAAGGGGGACCCTGGAAGAGAGTTCTGTAGGACAGGCGTGAGCAGTTGCTTCTGCTCTAACCCCTGTGGCCCACTGTGCTCACCTGGCAGGGAGGACAGTGGGCAGGACACAGTCCTAGAATACAGCAGAGGCAGGACTTGAGATGACACTGAGGTTGCCCAAGTCTCATTCCTCTTATTCTTTCCTCTTGGGATCATCTTACAGGGCTGGAGACTTCCAGCTCCATTTGCCTCAGAAGAAATCTCTGTGGCTGACATTGGAATTCCTGGGTCTTGGGAGCAGATCAATACCTGAGGGAAATGTTCTTTCTCCGTCTTTCTCAATCCCTTCTTCCTGGGACCTGGCCTCCTGAGTTCTTGAAGTGACCCTGAGACATGATCGGCTCACCTGTTGTTGAGGGGGAGCTCCCAAGCCCTTGATCGCTGGAGAGGGTAGGCAGTATGTCTGGGGGTCAGTGCATCCGCCTTCTATCTTCAGATTGGGCTCTTCTGCCACCCTGCAGAGAGGAGATTCCTCAGCCTCCCTAATCGCTGGCTCTGCCATGCTGTCTCCTGCTCCCCCCACCCCAGTGTCTCAGTCCTATAGCCTGAATCTCCTGGGTGTCAGGACATGACTCTATATCCCCAGGCTATCCCAGGAGTGAAGGGTGTGGGTGCTGAAGGCCACTCATAATCTTGGGACTCCTCTGTTGGATAGCCCTCGGCCACTGCAGGGAAACAGCTTGAGCATACAACACTCAGAAGGCCACCTGGGCACCTCAGCCTGTCTACCTGCTTGGCTCCAGCAGCCCCTGTGCTGTGGGCATTCAGATGGCCCAGCAGAATTGGACTTGTGGACCAGACCAGAGACCTAGAGTGGTCCTGCCCTGATCATTTTCTACCCCCCACCTCCTTGGTGTCCTCTTCTCTTGGTGTCCACGCTGCTTTTGTCAGGGTTCTCCCTTAATCAGAAACCTTCAGTGGCTCTCCATGCCGGGAGAATCGGTGCTCACTGTCTAGCCTGGCATTGCGGCGTGGCCTGCACAGCCCCACCTTCTTGGTCGTGCCACACTCTGCTCTTGCATGTGGGTCCCCTGATCTCATAGTTCTCCAGGTGCCTCCGTTCACGCCATTCCTGCCCTGTGTGCGCCTCCTCTAGCTTCTGCTGGAATCATGGAATGATGCGGAAGCTGGAGAGAACTTAGGGTGGTACTTCTAGAACTGTAACGTTTGAGTGATTCATGGGGATCTTGTGAAAATGCAGGTTCTGGTTCAGTAAAGGCGGGGTGGGCCTGAGCTTCTGCCTTCTAGCAAGCTCACAGGGGATGTCCACACTGCTGGTCCACAGATCACATTTTGAGTAGACAAAATGCCCTTAGACATCATTGAGTTCAGTGATTCTCAGTCTTCGATGACCCTTAGAATCATCCAGGGAGCTTTTTAAAAGAAAACGGTGACAAGCAGATCCCATTCTCCAATAATAGGTATTATTTTCCAACCTCCCTAGGTGATTCTGATGTGTGCAGCTGGGGCTGGCAACCAGTAATTCAATGCAACTTCTTCATGTCGCTTGCCCCCATGGGTCAGCTCAGGTTCCACCATTCCCGGGAAGCCTGCCTGCTTTGCCTGGCGAGTCTGCCCTCAGATCCCAGTCACTGCCTGAGCAGTCCGGGTGTCTCTCCTGCTCTCTGCTCTGAGGGTTATTCATGCACGTGCGGTTTTCCTCTCTCAGACCTGTGTATAGCTCCCCAAGTGCCTGGGTCTCCAACTTGGATATCTGCAGAGGCCAGACTTGGACACTGCTCAGTAAATACTTGGATGGTTGCATATTTGTTGATTACCCTCTCTTCTTTCTGCCTTCTCCTTTTCCTTGCCTTCCCCTCTCTTCTCTCCCTTGCCCTTTCTCCTGTCCCACCGCCCTCCGCTTCCCCCCATCCTTTTCCCTTCATCGTGTGGCCCCCTCCTGCCTGCAGGATGACAACTGGGGGGAAACGACGACGGTAGTAACTGGCACCTCGGAGCACAGCATCTCCCACGATGACCTCACGCGCATCGCCAAGGACATGGAGGACAGCGTCCCGCTGGACTGCTCCCGCCACCTGGGCGTGGCGGCGGGGGCCACTCTGGCGCTGCTGTCTTTCCTCACGCCACTGGCCTTCCTGCTGCTGCCCCCTCTGCTGTGGCGGGAGGAGCTGGAGCCGTGCGGGACGGCCTGCGAGGGCCTCTTCATCTCCGTGGCCTTCAAGCTGCTCATCCTGCTGCTGGGCAGCTGGGCTCTGTTCTTCCGCCGGCCCAAGGCCTCGCTGCCCCGCGTCTTCGTGCTGCGCGCCCTGCTCATGGTGCTGGTCTTCCTGCTCGTCGTCTCCTACTGGCTCTTCTACGGCGTGCGCATCCTGGACGCCCGCGAGCGCAGCTACCAGGGCGTGGTGCAGTTCGCAGTGTCGCTGGTGGACGCCCTCCTCTTCGTGCACTACCTGGCAGTGGTCCTGCTGGAGCTGCGCCAGCTCCAGCCTCAGTTCACGCTCAAGGTCGTGCGCTCCACCGACGGGGCAAGCCGCTTCTACAACGTCGGCCATCTCAGGTGCGGGCGCCTGGAGCAGGCGGGAGCCGGCTTGGGCAGGAAAGGGCACGGGGCAGGCGGAGGGGCCGCTAGGATGGGAGAGCGTGACGGTGGGCTGAAGGTGATGGCTGGGAGGGCTGTGCGTGGGAAGGAGTTGAGTACTTTGTGCGCAGTAGGTTTTGAACGATGTTTGCTGCTGAATGGGAGGGTCACGTGCAGGGTTATGGGACAAGACAGGTGGGAGATAAGAGTTGAGAATGAACAGGCAGTTAGAGATGGGGAATCTCAGAAGGGGATGAACCAAAGGGGAGAAGAATGTGGGGCAGGGAGAGGGGCTTTTTGGAATTCCTTTTCCAGCCCATTCTTGGAGGCACAGCTTCTTGTGAGCGCTCAGTGAATGGCCACTGACATGAGCGGGCCAGAGGAGGGACCTGGAGGAAGAGATAGGGAGGAGAGTTCTTCTGCTTCCCCTAAACCAGGCCATACAGAGTCTCAGTGGCAAGTCCTGGGTCCTACAGAGAGTCTTGGGGCAATGCTGGAGGGGATGAGGTGACCCTTGTCCGCAGACCCAGCCCAATGCCCTTTCTCCCCTGGGCTTCAGCACGGCAGAGAAAGACTAGCAGGCCCAGCCCTGGGGAAGGCTTGGGAGCCTGGTGAGTAGACCTCAGGCCTGAGCCAGGCTTCTTGGAAGCAGCTTGTCCCTGTCCTGTGTCCTCTCCTGCCCTGCCAACCTCCCTGATGTGTCCCTTCCCCTGTGCCCCTTGTCTGTCCCTTTTCCCTCCCTCCCTGCCGTCTCCCCCACAGCATCCAGCGCGTGGCAGTGTGGATCCTGGAGAAGTATTACCATGACTTCCCTGTCTACAACCCTGCCCTCCTCAACCTGCCCAAGTCCGTCCTGGCCAAGAAAGTGTCTGGCTTCAAGGTGTATTCCCTCGGAGAGGGTGAGCAGCCCTGCTCCTCGGCCCCTCCCGGTCTCTTCCCCTGCAGGACTCCAAGTTACCTCCTCACTCTCTCTCACCCTTCTTCCCTTGCTTTTTCCTTTCCCCGGCCCATGTCCCAGCCCCTTCTGTTCTGTCATTTCCCTTGACTCCAGGTGGCTGGTCTTAGCTGCTGATTCTACTGGCTGTCCCTTTATGCTACGGCGTGTCCCTTGATCTGGCTCCTCTGTGTCTGCTCATCACCCCTGGTTTAAGCCCTTTGGCTCCCTGAGCTGCAGAACCTCTTGACCCAGGGAGGAACGTGTGCAGGACTCCTGCCCCTCCAATGCCTTCCTTGTTGATTTCCTGTGGCCTCTCCCAGAGGTGGCCAGGAGGGTTGGGCATGGGAGGTATTGCTGGGTGGTGGGAACAGCTTCCTCTGGACATGTCAGGCTGCTGTCTCCAGAGCTCATGGAGTGGGAAGAGAGGCCACACTCTGATGTGACCATCCCCTCTCTCCTGCTCCCGTGCAGAAAACAGCACCAATAACTCCACGGGCCAGTCTCGGGCTGTGATTGCAGCAGCTGCCAGGAGGCGGGACAATAGCCACAACGAGTACTACTATGAGGAGGCCGAGCATGAGCGGAGGGTGCGCAAGAGGAGGGCCAGGTGGGTCCCTGGGGGAGAAGAGGTGGGGAGAGGTGCCTGTGGGGTGAGCTGGGGAGAGGAAGACCAAGGGGCTTCTGTAACTGCTGGAAATACAGAGCAATGGTGACAGGGGTGGGGTTTTCCATGAACTCGGCTGCTGTGAAACAGCACACATTTATTATCCCCCAGTTCCATGGGTCAGGAGCAGGCTAGCTGGCTGCCGTGCTCAGGCCTCACAGGCTGAAATTAAGACGACTCTCATCTGAGCCTGGCTTCTCTTCCAGGCTCACTATTGTTGGCAGAATTCAGTTCCTGGTCACGTGGCCGCATAGGCGGTTTACAAGATGGCAGTTCACTTTTCCCAGCAGGAGCGGGTCTCCCTGACTACTTCTATCCACCGCTAGCCGGAGAGAACTCTGCTTTTAAAGAGCTCATATGATTAGATCAGGCCCAACAGGATAATCTTCTTTTAAGGCCGCTGACTTGGCACTTTAATTATATCTGCAAAACGTACTGAGATTGTTGAATAACGAGGGGATGGGAATCTGGTGGAAGTGGAGGGGCGTCTTTGAATTCAGCCTATTACAGTGGGGCAGGGACACCATAAAGGGACTTGAGCCTCACCTGCAACAGCAGGGACTGAGGCCAGACTAGACTTCCTACCAGTAGATCTCGAAGGCTTGCTCAGCACATGGGTGCTTTTTTGGCCTGTAAAAAATGAGGTTCTAGTGCCCATATTTTGGTAAATTCTTAAATGCTGTCCTCACTCCTTCCTTTTCCCTGTTCACATCATTATGTGAACTTAAGTCATGCCTGAAGAATCCTTCTTGGTGCCTATGGCTGCCAGGACCCGCCTTGGTGTGTAGGGATTTCTACGGGGGAGGAGCAGGGCGCCTTGGGGCTTGAGCCTGCACCTACCCTCCGCCCCACCTCCCACAGGATCTTCAGGCTGCAGGGGAGGGAGGTAGCCCAAACCAGTGATGTCCCCTACCCCTTTACCTTCTGCCCTGCCTAGCGTCTTTGGGTCTCCTGTGCTGCCACCACCCTTCTTGGCACTTAGGGGGCTCTTTCTTTCCCCCATTACCCTGCTCATAAGCAGGAGAAAATTTCTTCCTTTCGTTTACCTGAGACAAAAGGATCTTTTCAAAAGGAACTTTACTGAGAAACTTAGGAGAAGCAAAAGAATAAACAGAAACTGTAGCCGTGCACAGGTCCACACATACCCAGAGTCCCATCCTGACCCTGAGTTCCCAGCTTCCTGGGTTTCTGGATACCGACCCATAGGCTTCACTTCCTTTCTTTGACTTGTCACCTAAGGCTGGTCTTGCTCGTAGGCCAGAGGCTTTTATTTTGGTTTTTGAACTTCCAGAACAGAGAATTGCATGAATCACCCTTTCCAGCTCTTAACACACGGCCTTCATGTGGTTCTTCACAGTGCTCCTTCTCTGCTTCGCTTTCCCCCAATCCTACCTTTACTCTCCACCTCCATGTTTTCGGCACCCACTTCAATTTTTTGATTTCCTTAAAACTCGTGTGTATGCTTGTACAAATTGAGTGTTGGCGTGTATGTCTCTATGCTTTTGATGTAAACTGACTTCTTTTTCCTGCTTCCTCCTTAACACTCTGAGACTCATCCATGTTGTCTGTACATCCGGTTTGTTGCATCTTCTCACTGCGTAGTAGTTCGTAGACTACTCCCAACATCCTATCCAATATCCAAATTATTTTTTCCATCTTGATGGATAATTAGTATCTTATTAACGTTTTAATTTGCACCTCTCTAATTGCTAGCCAGTAACTACTTTGCATATTTTTTAGCCTTGTAAGCCTCTTGTGAATTTTCTGTTCACTTCCTTTGTCCATTTTTCTATAGGATTCTTGCTTTTTTCTTTTCGGTAGAAATTGTAGTGAATCTTTGTACGTTCTAGATGTTAATCCCTTGCTGGTTTTAGATGCTGCATATATTTCCCCTCACCCCTATCAGATGTCAGTTAATATTGTCGGTGCTTTCATGGTTGAATAGAAATCTGTTATTTTGTTGTAATCATACCCATTAACTTTTGACCTGATGAAGTGTGATTTGGGTGTCCTGTTTAGGAAGGCTTTTCCTGGCGAGGCTCAGTGACTCATCGCTGTAATCCCAGTACTTTGGGAAGCCGAGGCAAGAGGATTGCTTGAGGCCAGGAGTTCGAGACCAGGCCTGGGCAACATAGTGAGACCTCATTTCTACAAAAAATTTAAAAATTAGCTGGGTGTGGTACTACATGTACCTGTAGTCCTAACTACTCAGGAAACTAAGGCTGGAGGATCCCTTGAGCCCAGGAGTTTGAGGCTACAGTGAACTATGACTCACTGCTGTGTTCTAGCCAGGTTGACAGAGTGAGACCCTGTCTCAAAAAAAAAAAAAAAAAAAGACTTTTCCTAGAGTTTGATGGAACACTTGGTCTTTCCTATAGCATAGTTCCTACTTGTCTCTCTTGGTTTGACACTAGATTTGTCCTCTTTGTGTCCTTGGGCTTAGCTCACTGAGCTCTATGGCTGTTTCCTGTTCTCAGTGGGGGAAAGGCCCTATTGCTCCTGGGGATAGCACAAAGGACTGACCCCACTCAGGCTGCTGGAGGGTTGGAGGCAGGGGGCAGGGAAGAGAGAATGGGCATCTGGTCCAGACCTTTCCTGTCCTTCAGACTTGTGGTGGCAGTGGAGGAGGCCTTTACTCACATTAAGCGGCTGCAGGAAGAGGAGCAGAAGAATCCCAGAGAGGTGATGGACCCCCGGGAGGCAGCCCAGGCCATCTTCGCATCCATGGCCCGTGCCATGCAGAAGTACCTTCGGACCACCAAGCAGCAGCCTTACCACACCATGGAGAGCATCTTGCAGCACCTTGAATTCTGCATCACACACGACATGACACCCAAGGTAGGCCTGCTCTGCCCACCCTCCTTCCTCTTTTCCCAGCTTCTCTTCTTTTCCACCTTCATTTCCCCATAGTCTCTCACTTCTTTCCTCACTTCCCACCCTTCTCTTTCTCTCAGCCACACCTCCTCCTTACAGTCTCTTCTCTTATCCCCACCCTATCCACCCTGTCTGCATCGGGTGGAGGTAGATGAGGGGAATGGGGGGTTTGAGATCATTTGGGGGAAGGCTGAGACCTATTTCTCATCTCTATAAGGGCTCTGGGATTTCCAGATCCAAGTTTCACCTTTACCCTCTACCTCCTTCCCCTCCCCTAGATTGTCTTTGCTCTGTGCTCATTTTGAGCCATTGCCCATCCCTCTGTTCTATTGCCAACTTCCTGGAATTGCTTTCCTTGAGCCCCCTTGGTGGACAGGTAACTAAATACGTTGCACTTTAACCTTGACATCTCTGGCTCCCTCCTGGTTGGCCTGAATCATACTAGCTGTGTGGGAAGGGAGGAAGAATGAGGGAGGGCTTGCCCGGGTCCTGGCTGGGTGCAGGGAGAAGGGCAGAAGATGGCGTCAGGGGAGCCAGGCTCCAGTCCGGACTCTGAGGAGCTGTATCATTTGTGGGCTCCAGCTTCCTCTTTTATTTTTATTTATTTATTTTTGAGACAGAGTCTCACTGCATCACCTTGGGTAGAGTGCAGTGGCATCATCATAGCTCTCTGCAACCTCCAACTCCTGGGCTCATGTGATCCTCCTGCCTCAGCCTTCTGAGTAGGTGGGCACCTGCCACCATGCCCGGCTCATTTTTTCTATTTTTGGTAGAGATGGGGTCTTGCTCTTGCTCAGGTGGGTTTTGAACACCTGACCTCGAGTGATCCTCCACCTCAGCCTCCCAGAGTGCTAGGATTACAGGCATGAGCCACCACGCCTGGCCTCTGGCTTTCTATTTTATAAAACAGGGGTCTGCAGCAGCTGATCTCAGACCCTTTCCTGCTCTACCATTCTGAGATTCTAGTTGATATGCACAGAGTGAGCTCAGGGACATCTTGGTTGTCTGTAGAAGCTGTGCCCCAGGGGACGAAGGATAGTGGGTGAGTGAGAGAGATTCCTACACAGCTCCCTCCCTCCTCCCCAGGCCTTCCTGGAGCGCTACCTGGCGGCCGGACCCACCATCCAGTACCACAAGGAACGCTGGCTGGCCAAACAGTGGACACTGGTGAGCGAGGAACCGGTGACCAACGGGCTCAAGGATGGCATCGTTTTCCTCTTAAAACGCCAGGACTTCAGCCTGGTGGTCAGCACCAAGAAGGTCCCATTCTTCAAACTCTCCGAGGAATTTGTGGATCCCAAGTCGCACAAGTTTGTCATGAGGCTGCAGTCTGAGACCTCAGTGTGACTGTGCAACAGCAGGGGGATGGGAGACCCTGGGGGCTCCTGAGGGGGTGGGAGGGGCACGGTTCTCAGGCCCAGCCACGTTCCTACCACCCTTCTTCCTCTTGCTCTTGGTTTTTTTTTACTTGAATTTCACTTACCCCCTGGTCCCCGCCCCGTCCTGTCTCCTCCCCTCGTCCTTATTTTACCCGGTGTGAACCTATAGAGACCATCCTGCTGTCAACAGTACCTGGGACCATCCCCCACCCCACCCTGCCAACTTTTGTGTAACTCCGGGCCCTGCGGGTGTCAGTGCCTGTCTCCCTTTCCTGGATGGCAGTCTCTTCCGAAAGGGCACAGGGCCCTGCTGCTTATACCTCCCCTCTTGAGCCCCCACTCACAAACCCAAGTTCTTGTAGCGGGTCTCTCCAGTGGCCCCGACAGGGTTTCTCTGGTGGTACGGATGTGACTCCAGAGAGCACAGTGCCAAACCCCTCCAGGGCAGCAGCTGCCCCCTCCTGCCTCTCTCCCCACATAACAAACCCTGAGTTCGGGGGCAAGGATACTCCTGCCACACAGCCGAGTTAGGAATCTCCCTGCTGGGGTTGTTTGCTTCCGGCTGGTAGAGCCTCTCTCCCCCAGCTACACATATTTAGAGCAAGGGAAGATCTTATCCTTTTCCCAGAAGTCTCCACCTTGTGAGTTGTATGGTCATGTGAGTTGTATGGTCACATGACCAAAGGGAAACAAGTGGAAAGACTCCATGACCACCTTTCCTGGGCCTTAGGGGAAGGTACCTTTCTTCCAATGTGTCCTTCCCAGGCAGCCCCTGAGCGAAAGGGCAGAATAGATCCCTGAGGTTTTGGAGGGACCCGTCACTGACCCCTGCCCTCTGACCTCCCCTCACCTTTGTTCCTGCCCTCCCCAGTGAAGGATGGCGTGCAGACTCCTACACAGACTTAGCGGCTTGTAGACCCTGACCCAGCCCCCATACTCTTAGACAAGTGTTTTTTTTCCTTCACCAGCCACCCCCTGTCCTGCTGTCTTCTCTTGACTCCAGAGACTGTTGCCTCATCTCTTGGGGACGAGCCAGCAGCTCCTCCTCATCCCCTGCCTTAAGTCCAGTTCTTTGCCTCAGGGGTCTCTTTTCTTGGCCTTCCAGGGTCCCTACCCCTTCTCTCCCTGCCTGATTCTCTGGGCTCTGGGCTCCCTCTGTATTGGGGTGAGGGACCAGGATTACTGCCTTTTGTGGGTACTTAGGCTCTCACCCTATTTTAGCTTCCGTAGTCTTTGCACCAAATGCAAAATCTCAATAGTTTAGATCTCATTTTGAGCAAAATTTGCTGGCCCTCTAACACATTTCAGTGTGAATCTGAGCCTTTAAATTAGACACCTTTAAATTGTGTGGTTTTTGCCAAGGAGGATAGAAATAGGAAGTACCCATAATACTCTAGCCAGGATCCTCCTGGAGGACCATTCCGATGGCTGGGATGGAGCATGCCCCTGGGCCAGTCCTCTAAATAACTCAGTGTCCTTTGTAGGCCCTTGTTTCCCCTGGAAAACTCATCAGTACTCACCTTGTGGAGAGATCCCGTGATCTCTCCCTGGGGAGGTGTCCTCTCTGTAGTCTAGTGGCAGCCCTGGGGGTGATGGAGCCTAGTGATCAGGTTTCTCCTGCTCTCCTTTCAGGAAAGACACACCTGTGCCCCTCTTCCCCCCACTTGCTAGAGAGGAGCTCATCAGCCAGTGCTCACCTTGTCCCCCTGGGGGGTGAGCTGGGGGTGTTGGGATATGCTTGTGTGAAATACGTCCCGTCCTGGGGGTCTGGGAAGGTATCTTTTCTTCTCTTCAAAAACCCGGTTTCAGAGGAGTCCCTTCTGGGTCACACGAATACCTCACTATCCTGGAAAACAGGGCCTGGATGGTGATGGGAACATTGCCTTTGCGGGCAGGATGGAGTGTGGTGTGGTTTGAGGAGCAGGTTGGGGATGGGGAGAGGGAAAGTATTTGGGATCTCAGTTGCTGCCCTAGATTAGGGGCGGGGTGGGGGGGGGAATGTTTATTTTAAGAACCTGCCATGTTTTTAATCACTGTGATTTTTTTCATTCCCTTTTCCTAAAAACAAAAAGAATTTTTTTTTCCCCCAACTCTTTCACTAAGCACTAAGGGCTGTGATTGAGAATGGTAGCATTTTGGTCTTTTGCGTCAGAACTGTGGTATCTTTGTCTTTGATTTTTATTATTATTATTTTTTGAAACGTCAGGATGGACTGTCAAGCGTAGGGCTGTGTGTTTGTCTTTGCTTCTCCTCTGTGGGAAGTGGTCTCCATGCTGTGAACTGCTGTGGGCCTACAGCTGCCTCAGTCGCTCTAAGCAGTTTTCCCCACTCTGCCTGCCCCTCCGCGGGATCGCGGATCGCGGGATCGCGGATCGCGGGATCGCGGATCGCGGGATCGCGGATCGCGGGATCGCGGATCGCGGGATCGCGGATCGCGGGATCGACTCTCTCTTCCGCCGCGGGGCCGTGCCAGCCTGTCGCCCCTCCCCCACCATAGGGGGGCGGTGGCTGGGCCTCTCCAGCGCTCTTATCTGTGGCTCATGGCCTCCTAGCTCATGCCTGCCGTGCCTACTGGGCTTCCCTTCTCATCACCCCACAACTCTTGCCCTCCTCCCCTCCACACCAAGACACTGTGTGCCTCAGTCCTTCACCTACCTCGCCGCTCTGCCGCTGTCCCCCTCCCCATTGGTCCCCTTCTCCTGAACGAGTCTTTGTGCTCTCTCTGTTTATTTTTGTTTATTTCCCTCTAGTCTCTCATTTTTTCTCCCCATCTCCCTCCATTTCAGCCCTTAATCCTTCACTTTCCCATCCCGCCCAGTATTCCCCTTGCAAACCCTCACGCAACACCTGTGATGAGACAACGGGATCCCTGCAACTTCTCTCTGAAACACCTGTTTCCCAGGGTTTGCGCTTCTCTCTGCCTCCGTTGGGCCCAGATGAGCCCCGTACCCCTCCGTGGTGTCTGTCAGTCTGTCTTCTCTTTCCTCTGCCCTTCCCATGGGGCAGTATCTGCTGATGGAGTCAATCCTGGTGTGTGATTGTTTGTGATTTGTTCTTCTGTGCGCAAAAGGAAGGGGACTTTTGGAGTCCCTTCCAAGTGAGATTGTAAATGTAGAATCTTCCACTGTTGGATCTAGACCTTTTTTTTTTTTT